TGGTCACATAATTTTACTTCAAACTGTGTCTGTGTTGCGAGACATCAAGAAAGATGGAAATGATAAAGGAGGACAACAGATGTGATGCTGTGCATGCAAATAGTTTTCTAGATTGAATGAGGGGATAAAGAGGGAAATGAGTTTCATCTTGTTGGAGATGAATCCCTGAGCAATAATTCAAAACCAGGCAAGATAACCAGCTAGTTTGTACCTTACCAGTAATTATAGCTCGTACTTTTTGGAGATTAATCCCGTTGATTTTTTTTAGAAATAAATGATAATTTATTAATGTCAAATTTCCTTCTGACTCACAACCAAGACATTTATAAAATTGGTAGATTAGTAATCAAAATTAAAAAGAAATTACATTAAATATTCTGTACAAAATTTCTAAAGAGCAACAAAGTGATTTTTATACTATGCGAAAAAACAGAATTTATGAGTTAGACATTTCCACATCATCTTCAGTAAGAAACTCATAGGTTACCAAGAGCATGTTATAATGTATAAATCCCATGATTACAATACCTTTGTTTATTATTAAGCATGGGTATGAAGGCTTGCATTATAAATTAGGGCCACCGTGAACGTGCAGTGTATTGGAAAGGTTGGGCTTTTGTGGGCTCAATAAACAACAATGTGGTCAGTGAAAGAACTACGTGCTCTGCAAACCGGCAACAGACATGGTTCTGTTTTAAGTCAAGAAAGAAAACATAAACCATCCACACTTTGAGAAGTCCTGTCAATCAGCAGCTCCGAAATGTAAAAGTTATTTAAATCTGACAGTTTGAAAATAAATCATCCCAACCACAAGGTCTGGTCCGTGCACCTCAGTGTCATGGTTGAAACAGACAAAGGAAATGTTCCAATTCTCAATGTTTGACTACGACTCAAAGTTCTGTATGAAAAGTAAGTTAAGGGGTTTGAATTTAGTTTCTCTCTCTATGAAGCCAAGGCAATGATACCATTATTATTCCACAGAATTACAATTGGGCTTCCCTTCTAAATCAACCATCATCATCATCATCATCATCATACATGACTTTGTCCAGATTATAAACCCCACAACCTTCTCTGACCTTCGTAAACATACATCACAGTCAGCTAAAAGTCTGCGTGTTCAACAGGCCCTGCGGACTAACATCTGTGCACTGCTTTGCATCGCTCCTGCCTTCCGCAGATGGCTCTAATAGGATTTTGCAAGAGGCAGCACCTTTTCTTCCAAAGAATTAGGCTTGATTTGGGTGCTGAGGACGACTTCATGATCGCCTTACCATGAAAAATAAAGAGAAAATGCCATTTCTAAAGAACAAGAGGAAACTTGCTTTATATTCAGCCCAGAAGCTCTGCGCTGGCAAGAAATTTTAGTGCCCTCCAGCAAACAAATGTTCCATCGTCTGCCTTTCACAAACCTTTAGATCTCAGTGAATGTCAGCAATATTATCCTCCCAATCCAGTCTGAAGGCCTGGCCCCCATGCTTGAATCAAATCTCAAGACACCAAGGTGGCCGTGATGTAGTCCACCACTAAAAAGCCAAGGCACAGAAGAAAAAACACTGGGACCGATCAATGGCCTGAGTAGGCAAATATCAGGCCTAGCCATGGGGCAGTGATTCAAAGTGTGTGACAGACAGAAATCATTGTGCCATCACAGGCCAGGCATGCTAAATGCTGATGAGCTTGTTTGAAAAGGTCTCACCACTTGGGATATTTGAAGTGTCATCAACAGCATGCATTATTCACAAAAAGAGAGCCATTTAGAGCCGGCTGTTCTGTTAAGCGGCCTCTGTAAAACGTGAGCCATATTTCAGTTTAAAAATTGTTGTTGAACTATATACAGTACAGTATACAGAACTACTACTAAAATATTTACGATAAAGTCAAATGCTGTGGTGTTTCATCATTTGTGAATAGAGTTTACAGGGTATTCGCCTTTTCTCACATATCTCAAATGTGATTTCAATTCTTAACAGTCCTCTGTATGGTTCAGCCTCTTGAAGCTCTTTATTTTAACTGGAAATTCATCTACTTTCATCTCAAACACTTCAGGTCACTTCAGCGATATTAGAATCACTTACACACACTTTAAGACCTGCGAAACCGGAATTTCATTCATTCGTTTTTACTGACAAATGACCTGCTAAGATAACATTTCAACTCAACCAACACCTCAAATACTTTTACTGACACCTCAACTTTTACTAGCACCTAACTGAGACTTCAACTCCTTAAACTGACACTTCAACTACTGTAAACAACACTTGAACTCCTTTTATTTAGACTTCTAATCTTTTACCTGACACTTCAACTCCCTAAACTGACGGCTCAACTCTTTTTATTGACAGTTCAACTTCTTTCACTGACACTTCAACTCCTATAATATGAATAAAAATATATAAGGGAGCATGACTGGGTCTGTTCTTTAAATGCTCTAAAAATAAAAATAAAATAGACAGTCTAATCATTTTTATTTTATTTATTTGCTCGACATTGACAATATTTTTGTCATCCCTCGTGTTTTCAGTAATATTGTTACACCAGGTAAAGGTGAATTGTGGGTGAGTACTGCAGAATCAATCTAGATGTGGTAACAAGGTATACTGGATATTACAAAAAGAAAAAACTGAATTTCACTGTGAAATTTAATTGACTTGGTTGTTGTACTTTGTGGTTTAAGACCACAGCGGGAAACCAAAATCCCTGTTAAACAGATATTTGAGAACACAGCTGTATATTTTAATATCTAGTCTAACAGCACTGGACTTTTCTCTTTTCTCTTGTGAGTCAGAGGAGAAACAGCTGCAAACTGCACATGCACAGTGGAACTGTCCAACCTGTGCGTGATGTTATTCGACCTCTAAACACGCTGTTTGTGGATTTCTGACTGTGGCTGGATCGCGTTGTCTAGGGGCAGAAACCGCAGATCAAAACTCCAAAATTACTTTTTGCCTGGTCGATCTTATTTTAATGGAAACCAGTTTTTGAGACAAACAGATAGACAATTTGTATTATTTCTGTTCTGCCTTTAATGTCAGCCTTGCTACAGAATGTGAACATAAGCGATTCTTTTCAGTATCAATACAGCTGGGAGTGAATAATGGACGAGGAATTAAATCCGCCCACATGAGACATTACAAGCCGAACCACGAGGCTGCTGAATCGTATCACACTGCATCAAGTGGTGTTTCTAATATTTTGCCCACCAACCTATGAGGGTGTATCTGTAAGAAACACAGATGACAGCCTCCAAAATAACCAAATGTAATCAACACTCTTTAAAACTGTTTTAGCAAAACATTAAGATTTTTCTCAAAGGTTTTATTTAAGGACTAATAGAACATGTACCTGTGTAGCAATGTACACCTTATAAACTGGTAATGGATTGAATGAGGAAATGAAATCTAGAAATTTAAGTAGACGGTGTGTCAAGGACCAGACTGTTATAACGTTTATTCATTTACATATTGACAGGTTTAATAATTATATAATGCTATATTGCTTCTCATTACAAGGAGATACTAGCTACGCCTCAACTACGACAACTAACTATAACCAGACAAGCCAGTAAATCATATGTAGCAGGTGTACAAACAAAGATCATGGGAAGATTTCATATTGTTGTGGAGGGAGACTGATGGCCGGTTTGTGCGTGCTGACCTTTTAGACAGGGTAAGTGCCTCTGGAGCGCAGCCACGTTTAAACAGCATCCAAGCAGATGGCGGAGGCAGCCAGACAGGACACACAAACACATTCCTCCGGCACAGGCAGAGCGATTGAGATAACCTGTGGTGTTGCCACCTGTTTTAGCACACTGCATAATTAAACCATATCTGCCTAAACTCTCTGCTCATCACAATGACTCACTTTCCCAGCATCCCTCAGGCAGCGCTCAGTGAGATTGTTCATCATAAAGTGCTAAAAGAAGCTCAAGATGTTTTCCTTCTCTCTACTTTTGTCTTCGACTTCACTGCATGTCTCTATCGCCTCCTGAGCCACGAGTCGTTTCCTGCTGCACGGTACCTCACACACACACACCTACTAAACCCTCCGGGGGACGCCGCCGAGAAGGCGTAAAGAAAAGATTTGACACGCTCAGCTTTTCGCAAATTACATTTTCACTTTGCGGAGCCTGAAAATGAACAGTATGACTCAGGCGTGCATGTGACGATCATGAGGTTAGATTTTGATCCTATACCTCAGACTCAGCAGTGATTCATTCCATCACACACACGTGTGCACATTTCACATTTCCTTAGCTGTTTTTTCCTATCACTAGAATAAGCACACAGGCAGGCGTTGCTCATAGTAACCCCACTTTTTCCCATTCCCAAAAACAAATATCATTAATGTTTGAAAATCTGAAATATTCTGTAAATGGCCAGCATCTGAGTCAATATAGAACACAGAGTCTTTGAATGTGTGCTGCCTTACTGTAAAGCTTTGTTGGAACACTGAGGCCCATGGGATGTTTGCCGAACGTGATGGGCTTAAGATTCTGGCTGTTTGAAGGTAATGTATGTTTCACTATAATAAAGAGAAGTTTATTCAGGTTTTCCTTTCCCTTTACACAGGGATGTAGTAACTTTTCACATACACAAAACCATGGGCGAATCTATTGAGTTAGTGTATGTACTCTATATAAGTATATGTCATTTGAACCAACTGTTCATTATATTGTTTATTTTTTTATCATTAGTCTTCTTGTATCATACGTTCCTGAATGTAATATTTGCCCTTCTTACAGGTTGAATCAGTAATAATGTCATAAAAACTTTTTTTGTTGCAAAGTCCTATCTCACAATATTAAAAAATTAAAATTAAAATTCCTGGAGCTAAACCAAAATTTAATAGGTTCCTTTCTTGGGTCAAAATTTAATGGAACTCTTCTAAGTAGTTTTTTGTGTAATTCTATAAACAAACAAATGCAGAAACTCCTTGGGGGAGGTAACGTCAAAGGATAAAGTGAGTTTTTGCAGAAAAAAGTCCAAAAAGCGTAATACCTTGATGTAGAGCTCTAGCTGTGGGTAGACCTTCCACACTCTCAGGAGAATAGAGAAAAACGTCTTGTGGGGTAATGAGGTAGTGACCACGTGTGTGACTTCAGGAAAAGTATAAACATTAAAGCCAGACGTCTCATAGCGCTTCAGAAGCTCCTCGTCAGCCTTGTTTTCTCCTTCACTCAGAATACTGCCGATAGCACAGCGGCACTGTGGTCCAGGCACCTACAGGAACAAGACAACGGATCAAATGAATAAATAAATTCATATTTAATAAAGAGGGATAGGTTATATAAAGATGACACATGTAAATAAGACACACTGATAGATACGTCGGATAAAAGAGATGCTCAGACTCAGAAGTCTTCATTATTTGAGTTTTTTTCTCATTCCAGTGATTTCAAATGCCATAATTATACAGATCCTCTGGCACCAACAACACTGACAGATTAATACCATCAAGAAATAAAAATGCTATTTGGACATCTATAAACACTCCATGTTGGCTTGTGTTCTATGTCGGACCTGGTTGTACGAAACCCAAACACTGCATCATCATCATAAATATAAGGGTGTGTTATATAAGGCAATTTTATGGTAGTGCGTAGCACACATTTAAAAGCTGATATCCTCTGTGATGTTGACCAGGTGTCAAAGTTAAAGAGAAAATATGGTCATTAATAGAAGCTCTAATTGGAGCATTTGGCTGTGAAGCAATTATTGCTCCTTCTTCCACACTGAGCACCCTGGTGCCCATTAAAATAAGAAGAGAGAGATACTTTTTTCCAATGAATATACTCCTGGGACTTCCAAGACTTTCTCCCCACTGTGCTGTGCTGAGCTGAGCACCACTGACGGTTTATGTGATAAATAAGCTGGAACAAGCCAATTTGTTCAAACCTATCAATGCTGCGCTTCAAGCACAGTTGGTGTGTCTGTGAGTGCCTGTTTCCTCCTCTGTTCCTCATCACACAGGCCAGAGTGGAAATCACTGAGCACTGCAGACCAGGCTCACAAGGTTTCACACACTCAGATTCTGCTTTGTTTGGCAGATTGAGTATCATTATGAATATAGTTAAATCTGTGATTGTATAGAACATTTTACAAGCTCAACCCTCCGACTATTTTACAGATTTGGCTACGAGGCAAAGAGGTTACAATAATTGTTGAATTCATTTATTGACAGACGATTACTCAGACACTGATTTGACAATTTAGAAAGTTACAAAAATCAATTAGAATGATACTCAATAGAGGACATACCTCGTACAAGGCAACAGTCCTCAAAAATCAATCAAGCTGCACCACATTGATATTAGTTTCCTGACTATAAATTATTTTTTCAGCAAGATCCATGAATTATTCCCTGGGAAATCGATGAAAATGTCAAAAAAAGACGCTCTGTGTTGTGGTAAGTGATAAAAAAAATCCTGGATCCGCACCCAAAGTGTTGAAAGTGTCATGATACTCAGTTCAATAGTCGTTACGCAATGCTGCTTAATATTAGACAGACAAACAAACACTAAAGAAAAATGAAGCTCCTTGGCGACAGTAAAAAAGTCTTTAATTTATCTTTTCTCTGATTCAACTCAATATCTTTGGATAGTGACTGCTGATTAGACAAAATACAACATGTTGATGAATGCATTGTTTTTTATTGAAAATCTGCTTGAATGACAAAAGTGAAACCTCCTCTGCTGTTTCATAAATACTGAACTAAAAAAAGCTTTGTTTGCTTGGTAAAGATAATGAAGGACAGATTCCATAGGTTCTCACAGAAAGAGAGATGATCTCCCATCATAAAATACACCTCTACCCACCACTCCAAATCAATAATGGGGTTTGTCACTGTACAGTAACAAGAACAGCAAGGATTTCAGTGAAGCCCGGCCAAACTAAACAGATAACACATCAGACACTTTGTTCAATAAAAGAAAGAGATGGGCTTTAAATATGTAGTTAATGGCCTGACCTTATTTTGGGTACATTTGGGAAACTTTACACATGAGGGTAAAGTCTGAGCCAAGTGGATTTATTAATCATCACAAGGCTCCAAGTGTCCGGGGGAGTCCAGAACAAAGAAGCACAGACAGCAGAACAAACCTCTACAGAATTATTGCTTTGCCTCTCTACACTCATCAAGACACAAGAGCACTGTCTTTTGAAGTTTCTTCAATACACAACAGCTCATCTGAAGGAGCTTCAACTCTAGGAGTGGTTTCTTCGAGTCGCTGTAGCAGATCGTCTGAATTGGCCTCTGCAAACTATCTTCACCAGCATGCAATGTATTTTCTATCTGCCTGCAGCTACAGTAAAGCTCACACTTTAAATGTTTTACTGCACCTTTGTGAAAGAGAGAGTGGGATTTTCTACGATTTCATCATTCACCAAAAAGACTAACATTTAGACTGATAGTCCCTCCCTGAGCCGTCGTGCCCTCTGCTGTCATCACGCCGTGACCCAAACATGGGTCCCTGAAGACAACAGGACATGTGTCACAATTGTGACAATTCCACTTGTCATCCAGGTTTATATTCAGACAATCCTTGTCTCAAGGACCACATACCCTGACCCTGATCGCTTACTTGGAATATAAAGTTTGACGAAAATCCACATGATCCACCCACGTTACCTCCCTCTGCCGTTTGCTGGATGTAGAGGGGGAGTGAAGAAGAAGAAACAAGCTGCAGGGTTGAGGTGAAGTGGGCGCACTGGGTCTGAAGAAAAGAAAAAAAATCCTGCATGGCTTTGAAACTGTGAGACGACTAGGGGAGGTTTAGTGAGTGGGGCTCAGAAATTTGTGAACAGACAGAGCTGCTCAGGCCGTGTATCCATGGCAACCATCTCAGGACCAGCTTAAGTCCTTGTTGAGGTCTTTTGTTTCTCCAGAGGAAGTGATTAAAGGAGGTAAAAGTGAGAAACTCGAGAACAGAGGATGAGTCTGGCCCTTCTGACACTTCTTCTCCGTCAGCTGAACTTTTGAAAAATCTTTCTCATTGCAAACATCAATGGACAGTGTCTCACTATTTGGCCACAAAACACCAGCCCTGCTATCTGAGAGCACTCTGGGGCTCCTGACGCTGGGACTGAACCGCATCCCGAGGCTCGAACGCTAATGAGCTGAGATCATTACGCCAATTATTTTAACTTAGATCAGGACTTGGCTGTGACTGCGCGGAGGAACTAGGACCCTCTCCCAGACTAATTGCTGGCTTGGGAAAAAGAGGATGAGCACAACAAAAGGAGTTTGAAGCGGGGTTTGGAAGAGTCCACTGCTGATCTCTGGTTACAATCCATCAAGTTGTTGTGCATGAGGCTACAGCAGGAGAAAGCTGCGCCATTTAAGTCAATACTGTTAAATACTTCTGCTCATGACGAGCACATTTCAGAGAATTACAGCAGTTGAGTCACGGTGACAAAGGTAAAGTCACAGTTAAGTTGATTCAATACTGAAGTTTGCTTCTGATTCTTGTCAGTTCCATTTACAATATTGATATCTAGCTAGTGGTCACTTCTCCAGAAAAATATTCAGTCTACGAAAATATACAAATCTTCATATTTAGGATAAATAATATTTTCAGATGATGTTTTAGCCATTTTAGCTTAATTATGGACTAATCCTAATCATCAAACAAATTGGTTTTCTTTTACTTAATTGATTGAGTAAGCCGTTAATTTTCAACTCTATGATGCTTATTCTCATAATGCTATTATTTTTATATTGGGGAAAACATTTTGTTATGAATAAAAACCTGGAAAGGGCCCCCCCCCAAAGAGTTTCAAACTGTTTTAAATCTCTTAATTGCGATCTGAGACACATGAAATGTCAGTGCCATGGGTTTTTCTTATATGACCAAATCAACACATTAGATTTGATTAAGATCTGTGATGGTGCAGACAAAAAGAGATGACTTACATATGTTTGAGCAAATAGTTTCTCATATAATAAACATATCTGGTACAAATGTCCCTGTCCCAAAAATACAGTAACGTTCTGTCTTGAATAATAATGATATTACCTTAATAAAAATTCCTCAACTCTATGCCGCATTTTTTCCTCAGTGCATTAAAGTGTGTCCATTCCATGTGGCTTCAGATCATCAGTTTGATGTGACAGACATGCACTGTTCATCGTTCACTATCAACTTGCAATTTAACAGACGCATGTTTCTATAGACAACATCTGCCCGTTTCCATACCTAAGTGCTTAACAGCTTCAAGATGCTACTGTACTTGTTCTGTCCCGTCTGTTCAGTATTGGGGAAAAAAAAGACTCACAATAACCTTGGGTTAAAATGTAAGAAGCAGGACCACATGAGTTCGGAGACCCCCATGGAGGGAGCAGGGTTAGGTATCAGGAAAACAGATCCAGCAGATATTATTTCCTGCTGCTTATAGACACTGCAGAAGTTTGGGAATGGATGAGTTCTCACAGGCAACAGATGGAGTGTGGGAAAACATCTCATGAACAGATCAAACTTACTTAGCAGCACTGGAGTGACAACAGAGGAGACCTCAGCAACTATCAAACTCAAGGAAACGCTCAGAGCCTGCCTATAACACTGATTTTTAAGAAACTCAATGTGCAGATCAGGAAGCTGCTGTGAAAACCCCTCTATAAAGTCAAGCCAGTCAACTTATGGTCAGAACACAAGCAAATTACAATAAGCAGTTGAGGGATCTGGCTGAGACCGTAGATATCGATTAGCTTGTTATTGCAAAACCTTGTTTTTTAGATAAGAATGTGATCAGTGACATTAGTGGTTAACCATGTTTATTCCTATGATTAAAATATTTTGTATTTATTGAAATGTGATTCTTTACTGATAATATATTGAAAAGTTTTGAAAGATCTGCAGTTTCATAGACTCAAAAATGATGCTCTGGTGTAGGACTACATCTCATGACATTAAATAAACGACCCCAACACAAACTTGGATAATATTGGGTGACATCTGTATCCACAAAACACACCACACCCTGTCCAGATGTGCTGTGATAATATTCAGGGGAAAACACAAACATTAGTTGGGGCCAAACTCCTCTGCATCATGCTGAGCAAAACCAGCAAAAAGACTGAATGTCAATAACACATGTCAAACCGCTAACATGACTATGAAGGGTAAAAACAACCTTTTTTAAGGGCATGAATGGAATTATTTAAACCATCATGGGCCGGATCTGGACTGCTCAGATTGGGGGGGCAATTAGAAATTTGGAGTGGGCACCTTTTCACACAGTGGACTTAGAGTTGAGAGTTTTTCTAAGTTTTAAAGAATGCGTCAAGCTGTGAACGGACTGCAATTAAACACAACTCTGATTAAGCTTAATGATTAATGTCAAATATGTTAAAGGTCCAGTGTGTAAGATTTAGGTGAACAGGATCTATTGGCAGAAATTTACTGTAGAATAATCCTCATGATGTTTTCACTAGTTCGTTTCATCTACATTGTGTGAATTGTAGTTTTCTTTACCCCAGAAAAGACTCTTTATATTTAAATACTTTATATTTACATGGAGGGGACCCTCTCTACAGAGGCCACCATGTTTTTTTACATTAGTCCAGACTGGACAAACTAAACACCTTTTGAGTTTTTATGACAACTGAAGCTACCACAGGACAGGAACTGAAGACAGCACCAAAAATGAACCTTATTTCCCCTGGGGAGCTGAGTGAGGTCGATCCATCCAAGATCAGTTGTAATCAGATAATAGTTTTTGGAAATCCAGGCTTGTGTCCAACCAGCAATTCAGAAATCAAAGAAATTCTGACGGGGCGAATGGAACAAACGTGATTGGCAGATTCAAATGGCTGTGGGCAGTGCCCACCCCTGCCAATGAGAATGGGTTGACCTGCTGAGGCGAGGTGCTCGTCTAAACTCGGTTTAAAAGAATGACACTAGCGCCATCTAGCGGCCAACTACTTCACAATATATGCTCTACCTGATTTTTTTATTTATTTTTTACAAGTAAAATAATTGAGTAAAGTTCCAAAGATAAAATGCTGGTTTCAACAAGCTATCATTTAATTAAAATGCTGTGTGCTGGGTATTTACCTTTCTAGGGTCATCATAAAAAACTCCAATGGATGAGAGCTTTGGTCCGATCCTGTGGGACTCGTTTAAAAGTGGTCCGCACGCTTTGTACGGTCCCTCTGTGAACTTGTAGGCGAACGTGATCTTCTTAATGGGAGCAGAGCCGGTGAGCACCGTGATGCCAGACAAGAGGCCGGAGTACAACACACAAGCAGCCGCTGTGAGGACACTGAGCAACAGGCTGAGCAGCACACACACCCCGAGCCAGTCCATGATGCGGCGGCTCCCTGAACACAGCTCGTACCGTCAGTCAACACACATGTTTAGAGACATGTTTAACACACGACGTTGCGTGGTTTTCACAGGACACGTGTTCTTAGTGTTTTGTGTGTTTCACCGAACGAGCAAGCGCCAACATTACACACAGGACTTCCTGGAATGTACCATGTACGCAGACCGGAGGGGGGATTATTTTTTTTGGTTTTCAGTGTAAAGTCAATAATCGCAGTATACAATATTAAAACAATACTTTGCTTGTAGAAATGCAATTCGGTCCTACAATTAACAAGTCAAGTTCATTTATATCGCAGAGTTCACTCAACAAGTGTCAACTCAATGTGTTTACTACAATACCTGAGTGCAGTACCTCAATACTGAAATATAACTAATGTGGCACCATGGATCATTTCTCTACTTGGTGTCAATATAGATAGTTATTTTAGTTTTTATATCAAAATAATCAATGAATATAGCTTTTTTGTGTTTGTTTAAAATGACATGTAAAAATATGTGTTGTTTGTGTAAGATATTGTCTGTATAGCATTGTGCCATGTCCTTGTGTGTCCTTGGTTTCACAGTGAATCATAGTGTAATTACCTGAAAACTTCTTATTTAAACAGTAATTCATTATTTAAAAATGATTAGAAGGACAAAAAAACACTCCATCTATCTTTTATTGTTTTGTTTTTTATATCACAGCCAGCATGCTTAACACGCTAAAGTGAACAAGTAAAAAGGCTCATATTTTATGACTTCTTGTTACTGTATGACATTGACGTCCTCCTCACTCCTGTGTATCCTTGGACTGAAACAACAGAAAAAAATAGAATGTAAAACATTAAACCTTATCATCTCAATTTGCTCAAATGAGCGCTCCTGGAAATGTAATTAAAGTCAGATTTTTACCTTGATGATCTCCCGACTCTTGACCCTCAGCTTGTTGACCTGAGACTCGGCGATGTCGGCTCGCTCCTGAGCCTCCTCCATCTCGTGCTGAACCTTCCTGTACCTGGACAGGTGACTGTTGGCCTGTTCCTCCTGTTTTAAAAGGCATACTGAGGTCAAAATGTGTTGACTGACATTTGCATGACACGTCTCATTATGAGGATTAAGTGTACTCACAGCCTCCTCAGCTTGTCGCTTGTAAGATTTCACTTTGAGCTGCAGCTTGTCCACTAGATCCTGAAGTCTGGAAATGTTCTTCTTGTCCTCTTCAGTCTGTTGCAAATCAGGAATGACAATCATGATTCAACTGTCTTAATTACTGCAGATTATTAGGATTATGGTAGTTTAATAATTAGTGATTCAAATTGTAGTTGACCTGATAACTGAGTTCCTTTACTCTTCTTTCATATTTTCGCACTCCCTTGATAGCATCAGCACCGCGCCTCTGTTCAGCATCTACTTCCGCCTCCAGTTCACGAACCTTGAATGAAGAAGTATGCAATGATTTAAAAGTTAAAATGTCATCCTTTTGTACAGTAAATATGAATGGGTAAGTCTGTGTGCCACTTACCCTAGCCTCCAGTTTCTGGAGCTGCTTCTTGCCGCCCTTCATGGCCAGATTCTCAGCTTCATCAAGGCGATGCTGCAGGTCCTTCACTGTCACCTCCATGTTCTTCTTCATCCTCTCCAAATGAGAGCTGGTGTCCTGCTCCTTCTTCAGTTCCTCTGCCATCATGGCCGCCTGATATTTTGAAGAATTTCAGATTGTTTAAACTGTCRAAGAACTTAAATGTAAAAAATGATGACTGACATATGTTATGATACTCACATCAGTGATGGCCTTCTTGGCCTTCTCTTCAGCATTTCTTGCTTCCTGAACAGCATCCTCTACTTCACCCTGGATCTGAATGAGGTCAGCCTCCAACTTCTTCTTGGTGTTGATGAGGCTGGTGTTCTGATAGAAAAATATTTTTGATCATAAGGTATACTGTAAATGTTAGGTTGCTAGGTGTCCCACATTGCTTGACCCTTTATTTACCTGAGAGTGCAGGAGTCCCACACGCTCGCTGGCATCAATCAGCTCCTGTTCAGCCACTTTGCGGCCTCTCTCCGTCTGCTCCAGTGCAGCTCTCAGCTCCTCGATCTCAGCCAGCATCAGGTTGTTCCTGCGCTCCACCATGGCCACCTGCTCCTTCATGTCTTCCTGACCTCTGATCGCTTCATCAAGGTGCAGTTGTGCATCCTAAATTAATCATAAAAACACATTTACAATGCAGCTGAAATAAAGTCAGCTTTACTTACAGTTTTCTTTGGCACCACACCTTAAGCTGCCCCTGCACGTTTCTCAGCTGTTTCTGGGCTTCAGCTGCCTGGCGGTTTGCATGGCTCAGCTGAATCTCCATCTCATTCAGGTCTCCCTCCATCTTCTTCTTGATTCTCATGGCATCGTTCCTGCTCCTGACCTCAGCGTCCAGCGTGGTCTGCATGGACTCGATCACTCTCTGGCTGTTCCTCTTGATCTGCTCCATCTCCTCGTCCTTCTCCGCGAGCTTCCTGTCAATTTCACTCTTGACTTGGGTGAGCTCCAGCTGGACACGCAGGATCTTGGACTCCTCATGCTCTAGAGTAGCCTTGACACAAAATATATTTATGTTGCATAGGTCCAGCATTATTAAAGTTGTTTTTAAAAAGAGATGTTTTGTCCGACAGTACCTCTGCCTCTTCAAGTGAAGTTTGGAGTTCAGACTTTTCTGTTTCTGCAGTCTTTTTTCCTTTCTCCAATTCATGAATGGTTTTTCCAGTCTCACCAATTTGCTCAGTTAAATCAGAGATCTCCTCTGTAAGAAACATAACGTATATGTTGTTTAAGTATGTCTGATATAATGAATTATGATAGAATAATATATATATATATCTATAGATATATATATATATATAAAACAGTACTGTTATAAAGTCACAGACCCTACACAGTATACCTGTTGGCCCACTGGGGGGCACACTTTTCATAACCCTTCCTTTTATACAAAGCATTTGTAATGGCTTTCCTAAAGGTCAGTGTATAAAGGAAAGTGTGTTTTTAAAATGTTTCATACGTTGCAGATTCTTGTTCTCCCTCTTCAGAGTCTCCAGGTGATCCAGAGCTTCTTCATATGAATTTTTCAGCTTGAACATCTCAGTGCTCAAAGAACGAGCCTCCTTCAGAGATCCCTCCAGCTCGGCCTGGCTCTCCTCATACTTCTGCTTCCACTCTGCAAGAACCTGAAAACATTAAAAAGACCCATATTTTTAGCAATACATAATTCAGTGGCCTTCATTATAAAGCATTAAGAAGAAATAAAACAATCTCACCTTGTCAAAGTTCCTCTGCTTCTTGTCGAGGTTAGCAGCCAGAGAATTAGCTCTCTCCACATCGATCATCAGGTCCTCCACTTCAGCCTGCAGTCTCTGTTTGGTCTTTTCCAGAGAGGCACATTTAGCATTCACAGCCTCGATGGATTCCTCTGCATCCTGAAGACGCTGAGCGAGCTTTTTCCTGTTAGAATAGATAGGAAATAGGTTCATGAAAACTTGTGGGTACATGTGGAAACCAATGTGACTTCAGGACTGTCCATTACTTGGCCTCCTCCAGCTCCTCAGTGCGCTGAATGGCATCAGTCTCRTATTTGGTTCTCCACTGAGCCACCTCGCTGTTGGCYTTGGACAKCGCTCGCTGCAGYTCAGCCTTGGCCTCCTGCTCCTCTTCATACTGCTCTCTGAGCAGGTCACAGTCATGACGGGAAGACTGAACAGCATGAGCCAGGGCGTTCTTGGCCTTACAATGACAAACGAAACCATTTTTATTAAGATGATTTTTTGTCTGTCTCAATTCAAACGATTAACTCTTTAGTTGTGCCACACTGCACTTCTCTGAAGTCTGTTTTTTTAATATACACATACTTTAACTTCCTCTTCAACGTGCCTCTTGAGCTCTTCAATCTGCTGGGTGTAAGCCTGCTTGCTCCGTGTTAGCTGAGAGACCAGGGCTTCTTTCTCCTCTATCTGGCGACTGAATTCACCTAAAAGGCAACAGCAAATTAAAAAGTAATCCTAATGCAATATTGCCATGAATTGCAAATACGACTAATTGGCATTAGAAAACTATACATAGAATATTTCTTTTTTTTCTCACCATTCTCTGTTTGCAGTCTTGCCCTTTGAACTCCAATATCATTCAATTGTCGCACATGTTCTTCATTTCTGGTCTTAAACTCACTCAATTGATCCTCAAGTGTACGACACATCTTCTCCAGATTGGCCTTAAATTAAAAAAATGTGTTGATGAAGTAAAGCAACATCATCTCTCTCTGAGAGAGCTGAGCTTTTAAGGTTTTTACTTTACCTTTGCTTTGGCAACAGTCTCCATGTTGCTGCTGAGGTCGTCGATCTCCATCTTGAATTCACTTTTCTCTTTCTCCAGCTTCTGTTTGATTCTCTGGAGGTTATCGATCTGCTCTCCCAGCTCCGCCGTGCTGTCAGCCTGCTTCTTGCGCAGAGCTGCAGCCGTGGCCTCGTGCTGCAGGGTGGACTCTTCGAGATCACGCCGCAGCTTCAGAAACTCTGCCTCACGCTTCTTGTTCATCTCAATCTGAACAGACGTTGCTCCTCCGGCCTCTTCGAGCCTCTCGCTGATCTCTTCAAGTTCCCTGGAGAGATCAGCCCTCTGCTTCTCCACCTTGGCCCGAGCAGCTCTCTCAGCCTCGATCTCCTCCTCCAGCTCTTCAATACGAGCCTAATATTGTCCAAAACACAGATGAACACAACAACAACAATGAACATCCTTTCTTCAAATCTGGGCCGTCCAAAGTCAGTGAGGTGCAGTCAGGATTAGATGCTATTAAAAAACTGTACCAACCTGAAGTTCTTTAATCTTCTTCTGAAGCTGAACAGAAAGTGATTGTTCATCCTCAATCTTGCTCAGAAGCTGGCTTGTTTCAAAGTCCTTCCTGTGTAGAGAAACATTTCATAAACATTGGGAAATAATTGTTAAACTGGTCATAATTTCCTGTTTGTGTATCACAGGCATTGAATGCATTGATATAATCAGTTTTGATAGTGAAGTAGTATTCTTTTAATATGGAGAACCGCCTGTAAACAGTACCCTGAGAATTTGACTATAGCTTCAGTACATCCAGACAAACCATGTTGGGTCAAACACAACTTCACTGTTTATA